TGGACTTACCTAGTCGGACTCTTTGTCGCAGGTAAACTTACTTGGCAACAACACCGAGCTTAGAGCTCACAACTGCCGCCATAAGTGTGACATAGACGTTACGTATGAATCCATTGTGGAGGCACATCCCAAGTATCGCAGCGAATACGTCATTACGGCTCTTAGCGAACATACTTGAGGCGGCGCTGCATTTCCATTGCAGCCCCAACAGTACCCTTAACGCATTGTTGTATAGGACATGTAAATCGTTGCCTGCTCGCTGCGTATAGCTAATCCACAAGCTGCAACAGCAGAATGGCTGACAAAAAGCTTTAAAAAGCGTTACTTTAACCTGCCTACCAAAACGCACAAACTTGCGAGCCAGCATATTACAAAGAACCGCAAACTCCCTCTGCATGTTCATATCGTATTTCAAATCAACTGTAAACCAATGGTCCGGGTACTTAAAACTCGCAACCCGCTTCAAAGGTTTCCCACATAATGAAATTTCCGGAAGTACAGGGTAGTTAGTTGAACCCGACTTAAGTAGAATCCACTCATTTTTACTTGTCTTGTACTTAAGTCAGAAAAGTCTCATTATTCACACAAATACTATCTACGTAACAGCTAAAGTTGGCACTGTTGAGTCGACCCATCAGCTGGTTTACATAGAGGTTGAACAATCTTGGAGAGCTTAACCCACACTGTCTCACGCCACAATGTAACACATACTCGTATACTTCGGAATAAAAGTCATCCCATTTCACAACATTTTGCTGGTGCCCGTACCAGTAGTACTGGAATAATATTATAATCTCCATGGGTACATTAGTCTCCTAATACAGCTACTGCCACAATTTATCGTAATTTACAAGGTCAAAGCCCTAGATAAATACAAAAAAAACATGCGAATATAGGCGTTTTTCTGGCAGTGTAGTTTGGACAGCCTGTTTAAGGGACAGAATAGCGTTTTCGGTCGACAAACTCGGCCTAAATCCAAATGGGTTATCTTTTAGTTGTACATGCTCTGCTAATATGTTATGAAGCAGACTGTCCATTACTTTCGACATAATAGTAGCCAAGGATATTGGCCTGTAATTCGAAATATCATAGGCAGTCTTATTTTAATAATAGGCACTACAAGTTTAGTTTTAGTAAGCTCAGCTGGTAAATAACTATAAAACAGCAAGTGCTCGAGGTAAGTGAACACCAGCATATTTCAGGTGTTCAATGCTCAAACCATCATAACCGGGTGATTTCCCTCTTACCATTCACTGAATAGTGTCTCCAGTGATCCTAGGGGAGAATTAAATCTAGGATTCACCCGGACAGGTGGCCCCAGTATTGCTCACCACTATATCAATATTTACGGAGTATTTTTAGCTCACGGAGGAGTATTTCTAGCTTCATCGTCATCGCTGGAGTTGAGATGCGTTCTTGTCGGCAGTGCCGGAAATTGTGCGCTCGACGGTACACCGTTACAAAAAGTTTGTTTCTATGTTGCGTTGTTTACATCCCACCGCATAGTGTAGCTAGAATATCATGTATTATCAATTATTTCTTATATTAGAAAATGTTTGTGAGATTTACAAAAACTCATAAAATGAAAGGCTTACTATATGAAATTATGTATTTTCAAATTATTGACATAATAAGTCTTATGAAATACACCAGTGTAATTTTTGATTAAATCAGACTCATTTATCACTTATTATTGAGATCAAATCAACTATCACAATTAAAAAATATTATGTATTATTCTTATCAACAAAAATATTTAAACTTACAATCTAAAATGCAATTAAAACTTTCCAGAATTGAAGTTATAGAATATACCGGGTGATTGAGCGCGAGATGTAAGATCCATGGATGGTGAAGGAAGCTCCCCGTTTGGTGGAGATTCCAAAGATGGTGCAGCCTGCTGTACGTTCCGTGTCCAATTGTTTTTTATAGGTTCTAATGGCGCCAAACGCCAGAATAGGCACTGGGTTTGGCGAAGGTAAATGCGGTTGCACCTTAATTGTCGAGTTACCTTTGGCGTGAAGTGGAAGCTCTGCTTCCGCGTTTCTGGTGAGTGCAGGTGGCCGGAGGCTCAAATCCCCCCCCCCATCAACATGGTAGCGGAATTAAATGATGATAGACCACCCCAGGAGGGTACCAGCACCCCTGGAGAATCCCTCGCAGAGCATCCACGACCATGTTTCTTCACTTCTGAGCGTGGGTGCTCAGGCTGCTCCGCGTATTATTGCTTCTCGCCGGACGATCCCAAAGTTGTTGCGGATTCTGTCGCTGATGTTGTACTTCAGGGTATGGAACTTCTTATTCTTTCCTCTGTGGCGCCCATTGGAGGCAAATCTAAGCCATGGTTTGGTCGCTCCTGTAAAATAGCATCATGCTATAAGCAGGAGTGCTACCAAACCTGGGCTGACGCATCAGCGTCCCGGGATGTAAGCACCAGCGCTGTAAAAAAGATGTATAATTCCGCCTCTAGGTCCTTAAAAAGAGTCATTGCCAAGGCAAAGTCAGAGCACATAGGCAGAATTGACGAGAAAATAGTTCGCCTTCCTTCTGGAACCCGTGCATTCTGGTCTCTCGCTAAGACTGTCTAGGGGAATTTCTGTCAACCATCTCTTCCACCTCTGCACAGGGAGGACGACTTACTGGCCCATACCGCAAAGGAGAAAGCCGATCTGCTAGGCTTTCTTTGCGTCCAACTCGACTCTCGATGACGGGGTCCATCCCGCGGTGTGAGTGCTCCATGCCGGAAGTGCAGTTAACACAGCGCTCGGTTCGCAAAGCACTCCTCTCCCTGGACATCCACAAGTCGAGTGGGCCTGACGGAATCCCCCCAATTGTGCTGAGGACGTGTGCTCCAGAGTTGTCACCGGTTTTAACGCGTCTTTTCCGGTACTCCTACTCCCTAGGCGTAGTCCCAAAATCATGGAAGACGGCTTTCGTCCACCCGATCCCTAAAAAAGGCGACCGCTCAGACCCGTCCAACTACCGGCCTATCGTCATCACCTCCTTGTTCTTCAAAACAATAGAGTCCATTGTAAACTGGCAGCTCATGAGGTGCCTTGAGGATCACCAGCTGGTTAGTGACCGCCAATACGGTTTTCGCCGTGGTCGGTCAGCTGGTGATCTTCTGGTCTACCTAACTCACAGATGGGCGGAGGCAGTAGAGTCCAAGGGGGAGGCATTGGCCGTTAGTTTGGACATTGCGAAGGCCTTCGATCGGGTTTGGCACAAAGCGCTTCATTCGAAGCTCCCTTCCTATGGGCTTCCCGAGAAATTGTGCGATTGGATCACCAGCTTTCTTGCAGATCGGAACATAAAGGTCGTTGTAGACGGTGCAAGCTCCGATTGCAAGCCTATTAATGCTGGTGTTCCACAAGGTTTCTTCTGCATATCAATGATGTGTTGCAAACCTCTAACATTCATTGCTATACAGATGACAGCACTAGTGATGCTCTTTACACCGGCCGTGCCAATATTTCTCGGGAAAACGTCTCCGAGTACCGGGACAAACTTGTGTCTGAAGTCGAGTCTCTGCTGAACAGAGTCTCGGATTGGGGGCGACTAAATCTAGTCCAGTTTAACCCCCAGGAGACACAAGTTTGCGCGTTAACCGCTAAAAAGAACCCCTTTGTCGTATCTCCTCAGTTTCAAGGCACCCCCCTTGTTGCCTCAGCCAGTATCGGAATCCTCGGCGTCGACATATCGAGTGACGTGCAGTTTCGTGGTCACTTGGAAGAGAAGGCCAAATTGGCCTCTAAAAAGCTTGGCGTGCTCAGCAGAACGGTAACAGTATTTCATGCCGGCACGCCACCTGCAACTTTAGAAGGCGCAGGTTGGGCCGCACATGGAATACTTTTCCCATCTCTGGGCTGGGGCTCCCCAGTACCAGCTCCTTCCCCTTGACCGCATCTATCGCAGAGCGGCTCGAATCGTCGACGACCGAGTGCTTTCCGATCGGCTCGATTCACTAGCACTGCGAAGAGATTTTGCATCTCTTTGCATTTTCTTTCGCATATACCATGGGGAGTGCTCTGAAGAATTGTTCGGATTAATCCCAGCCGCCGAATTTCGTGAACGTACTACGCGGCAAACGTCCAGATACCATCCACACCATCTAGATGCTTGGCGGTCCACCACTGTACGTTTCAAAAGGAGCTTCTTCCGCGTACAACCTCTCTGTGGAATAGTTTACCACCGGCGATTTTTCCGCACCGATACGACCTGGGGACCTTCAAGAAAAGAGCTTACTCCTTTCTAAAGGGCCGGCAACGCACCTGCAATTCCCATGGTGTTGCGGTTCATCATGGGCGGCGGTAGTCACTTAACATCAGGTGAGCCGCATGCTCGTTTGCCCCCTCTTCTATAAAAAAAAACCTTTTGCACACTCAGGGTCCGGTGAAGGCAATAGCGACTGCGCATGAGATGTCAGGTTGTCCAGTTATACCTCCATGATTTGGTAAAGCGGATAAGAGCTGACCAATCGGTGACTGACCCTCAGTAGAAGGGTTCTGCAAGAGTAACTGTGACTGGTCTTCTCAATCTCTAAGACCGTTTAGCAGAAACGTGTCCTACAAAAGGCCATCTCCTACATTTTATTAATTATATTATTCTTGTTGGTATTGTGCTTGTGTCTTGTTTGTTCGGTAGTTAAAATGGGAATGTGAGAACGAATATGGGTGTGGGGAATGACGTGGTGAGTATTTGTGTAGTGTGATTTGTTGAATGTAAGGTTGGTGTATGACTCTATACAATAGCATAATTTTAAGCGCCTTATTGGAAATGCAATAGGGTCGACTGTCGACTATCTGGCGTCGACAATATTTTATAGGCTCAGTGCCGTCTATTTGCATATGAACCGTTTCAAGCCCTATTGAACGCAAAATTGGTAAAAATTCGTTCCACTTCTTAAAATGCGCAGTTTCTTTTTAGACATCCTTTTAAGGGTTTTACATCGTCCTTGTACTTTGATCCGTTGAATGAGTCGAACAGCTGATCAATCATATTTATAAAGATAGTTGTCCCTCTGCATTCCTCCGGCAATGCTTTATTTCCTCTAAAAACAAAACAGTATTAACAATAGTGCTACTTTAACAGGTTGTCGTTTGCTTATACATACAGAAGCTAGTTTAAACTACAGTAGCCAGCCATATACAACATGTAACATAATTAACGCACATCCTGAAAGTAGTTTGTTCAGAATCGTTTCCCATCATTTTTAATATAGGTAATTTTTTATCCCAAAAATAATTAAAACTACGTAAATTACAGTCACACTAAATCTGTACAGTCAAAACAAACTGAAATGGACCGTAACTTACGGCAATAAGATTTAAAGAGTGCAGTTTTATTTGTATTATTACTAATTGCCATTCAATAAAAATAAAGAAAAGTGAACTTTATTTCAAGCACGTTAAAGTCTTTGCATTCGTGGATTTGTACTGTGACCACAACATTCTTCCGGAATTGGTACAACTAATTTGATAAATAATCAGTGCATAAAAATGTTTAACTAAAAATTCAGTGTATGTATTATGATTATAACATAATACACTAATTGGGGTGTCTGAGGGTGTGCGTTAATTACGTTACAAATTGTATATTACATGTAATAACTAATATACTAAGCTAGCACCGGGCACGTTGCAGTCGCGGAAGAAAGAAAGGGGAATGCCCATTGTTCATAGACACTTCGGCCATGGGTGCCCCCACATATAAAAACATATAGAAATGATAATATGCAATTAAAAGAATGAAATGGTTAAGAAATTGGTTTAAAAAAAGTCGGGATTTTTATGATATAAAAGTTTTTATTTTCAGAAATATAGTTTTTTAACGACTACTTTTACCAATTTTATTGCTTTTAATTCCCGACCTTTCAGGTGCTTTATGGCACCCTTGGTCACGTTGGGGACTGAGGTGATTGTTATCGCAATGTCAGTATTAACATGGAGTATATTGTATGATGTATGATCCTTCAGCTTTTTATTATTATTTTTATAGTCCAATCTACACAGATTGATCTTTCTCTGTATTTAAGTCTTGCAATGGTATGCTTGGGTTTAGTTTTAATTTTATTAATTATAGTGTCCCAAGCAGGTGGCAGCCGCCTTCCCTATTGAAAGTAGGATGTTTTTTAATTTCAATAGCCTCACATATCATCATTCACAATAAAGCTTGTACACTCCTGCATCTTTTAGAGGAATATGACACTTGATGGATTTTGAAAACTGTCTAATATTCTTCAGCAGTTTGTAGAATGTTCTAATAAAAGCTCGCCAGTCTTGTCTGTGACATTCTTGACATACGGTAGTACAGCAGACACACGCTCGACTGCGGTCGGCTTCACTTTGTCACAGTGACGTAGACGCGGGACCCGAAGCTTGATGTTGTGCAGAACCTGCTTGACATGCTGAAGCTCCGCGGCCGGTGCTTGCTGTCACAGATCCCATATGCTCTCTGTAACAAAGATTTGCTCACGGTAACTACCTGTGAAGGATGATGGTGAGATTCAACATTTAAATATAAGTTTGTATGGGTCTTTTTTATATACACAGTGTGATCTATGATGTTGTTAGGATTTTGGATGACAAAAACATCTAGGAAAGCTAAGGAATTATTTGCCTCTAATATAATATCATAATTACTGAATGGAATTTGGCACAAAGAGTGGTAACGATGGATAAAATTCATAGGAACAACATCCTGATTTAATATTTCACGGGCCATATTCATGAGCCGCTCTAATTTGTTTCTTGGCACTTGCAATAATGCCTATATGTATTCTTCACTATCTCCTGTTTTTACTTTCATCAAATATACAGCAAGTGCAAAACAACCACTATGTTTACTTGACATTTTGGGAACTTCAGAGAATATTTGTTGGTATTGTGCCTTTGATAAGCCTAGATAATAATATACAGTATGTTCAGATATACTGTGAATATTTTCAGAGTCTATATGATGGTATATATTATCTTACAATAGTGTAGTAAAATCTATAATTTGTGCTACACTAAATGTTTAATATGGTTATATATTGATTCCAAGAGTAAATCCCAAGAGTTACTATTTAAATGGTAGTTACTGATTCTACATTCTGGAGGTACATAGTAATTGTATTCATAAAAAGACATACCCGCAATGCTGATAGAACAGTGAGTTGATTGGAATTGTTACAACCAGGAAAAAACATTGATTTTGTGTGAGTGGTGCTCTTACATAATTAGGCAGCAGTATATTGTATGATATATGATCTAAGCTTTGTTGTTCTGGGTGCAATACATTACTCACTTCAGATTACAACGAGGTCGGACTAGATGATTCAAATGGTTCCCGTTCTGCAGTTTAACATGATGCTGCTTTATCAGTCCTTCGCCAGCAATTATGACAAACACGCGATGACGATGGCAACTGAAATAATATTAAATAAAAAAATAAGACAAAGAGAACAAAATAAAATAGATTTGTTTACTTTAAACTCAAATATAGGTAAATGTTACTTAAAACTTAATGCCCTATATTATTTAATAATTAGGGACTGACTGACTACCAGTAGTCCAAAAACAATTAAAAATCGACTGTCTCATTTCTTGGTATTTGATAAAAATTGTCAATTTCATAACTATCTGGTGTTAGCTAGCTAATCTTATGGCCATGTTATAAATCAGCTATTATGTTTGTCAGATATAGCTTGTGCATATGTTAAAAAATAAAACAACTTCATCATTTCATTCATTCATCACTATCAAATATCAGCACTAGAATTAATAAATTAAAAACTGCTGAACACTTACTTTTAACTGTTGTCACACCATAATGTGATCGGTAATATCACTCCATATGAGTTCCTGAGAATTTATTTGAAAAATGACAAACAAAATAACACAATTGCGACTATTTAGTTGTGAATTCTCTATTACCTTTTTACTTGTTGAATTGTGATTCGTAATTTGCATGACATATTTCCTAGCTGTCAGATTTGATGCTGCCACATAAAAGTAAAGTTACAGCCTATATACGTCCCACTGCTGGGCACAGGCCTCCCCTCATTTCTGAGTGTTTTAGGGCAAGGAAGTGTCCGCCGCGCTGACCCAATGCGTGTTGGCGAACTTCACATGATTTCGAAATATTTTTTTTTTCTTATTCCTCAGACATGCAGGTTTCCTCACGATGTTTTCCTTCACCGCCGAGCACGTGGTATATCAGCACTTAAAATTGCAATTAACAATTTCATTGGTGCCATCGGGGATCGAACCCGGGTTTCTCGCGTTCTGTTATATTTACAGCGAGCGCTAACCATCTGAGCTACCACGGCTCACATAACTAACATAAATACAATGAAACGATATCGATTTTTATTAGATTAGTAATTTAATAAAAAATAATAATATTTGAGGCGCTTTAAGGCCCCAGTCTTGTAAAAATTAGTGTTCTCGCAAAATTTACAGCAAAACAAATATTTTTTCATAGTATTTAAAAAAGAAAAAGTGAAACATATTTTATATTTATTTAAAGTGTAGGATTTGATATTTTCGAAAATGCTTTTTAATTTTATTTTGGTGTTTTAGCTCTATTAGGCGTTAAACATGCCTATGTTTAGGTTACATGCGTAAAAGGTCTTATTAAAGCCTCTGCTATGTACAAACTATAACAATATCAAGAAAAGTATTCAGATCACATTTATTTACATATTGTCTACAATAATCTGATCTGGTCACTTTTTATATAAATGCTTTAATTTTCTTATTTGAATGGCTTAAAAAGTTGTAATTTCATGATTTTTTACTGCAAATATCTATTTTTTTCTATTAGAAGTATAAATGTAGCAAAGTCGTACTTAAAACCACATAAAATAGAACTATTTTAAGTGAGTTAAAAGTAAATAAAATTAAAAAAGTATATATTTTCGTACTTTTTACATATATGCCATTTATAAACAAGAAACACCTGAAAATTCTCTTAGTTCCGCTGGGATTTCTCGGCGTTCAGACGTGTGCAGTGTTACTCAACGTTACTTTACCTCTCGCTCGCACGGTCGATCTCTTTCCCTCGCGCAGCTCTTATTGATTGAGGATATGGAGCATATCGTGAAAGTTGCTTTACTTAAATATATATTATTTTTATTTAATTGTGATATTAGTTCTAGTTTTTAGTGTTTATATTAGTATTAGATTAATTGACTTGAACTTTTATATTTGGTATGTTTTATATATTTTAAGTTGTATATATAATTTATTACCAAAAAAAGACGGACAGAAAAAAGAAGAAATATCCTTGTGTCAGTAAAAATAGTCATAAAAGCAGTAGTAAAGTACAAAATGTACAAGGTAGAGGCGAAATTTGTATGAAGAGGCAGTTTTTATTTTCCTTCGCTGGTATAATACCCTTTTTAAACCTTCACCCCGTATAAACATTACTAAAAACGACATTTATGAAAGATAAAATGGTAAAAAATTGTACTACCACGACTAAAGTAAAATGAAAATATTTGGAAAAAAAAATAATAAGTTATATATTTAATGAAGGAGAGCACCTTCATCTGCGATCTCAAACGTATTTATGCACGGTGGAGAGCGCCCCCTCTAATGGCTGGGAATCATTGAGTTACAATACCTATAGAGTCACAATCTCTAACTGACAATACTCAAAAAATGTCCGAGCGCCGTTCCATATACCTATATATTTTGATATTATATAGTTCAAAATGACATTTGCTCGAATTTAGACGTTAACCTGCTTGTATAATGTTCAAAGTCGCTCGTATGCAATGTCATCATCATTCACTCAAGGGCTTGCGTACGAGCAGGGAACAAGGCATCAGTGGAGACGCTATTTATACTAATATTATTAGGAGTTTATAATAATTGTGAAATATGAGTTTGTGAGTTTATATGTACCTAGGAGAACTAAACAACTGATTTCAAAAATTATTACACCAATTTCTTTTTAATTTACTTATCATATTAAAAAATCTTATAACACATTTTATAAGATTTTTTTATATGATAAGTAAATGAAAAAAAAATTGGTGTAATAATTAATAGTATTAATAGC